CTCTTATGGCATTTGGCTCTGTGGTCCTGTGTCTGGCCCCGATTCTGCAGGACAGGTTCCCCACAGAATTGCAGTTGTTTTTCACTGCATGTGTGCTGGTCTCAGCTTGTGTGGGAGTAGTTTCTCCAAAGAGGTACTTCAGAAAATGGTAAGATATTTGACTTAGGAATTGGAAAGTTGAGAAATGTTATTTCATTAGAAGTGTTCGTTGTTCCACCTAGAAGAGGATTAAATGGCATAAGCGTTGGCAATAAGACTTGAGGTGGCCAGAAAGATATGCATTAAGAATATGTGGCACTTCTTCCTCAATGCCCCACAGTATTTTGGTTAGAGAGAACGGAATGGGTATGTTACCAGGAAAGAGGTAGAAATCTTTGTTTGTAAAACTATTGGAATTTGGGGGTTGTTTGTTATTATAGCATAATATAACCTACACTGACACACAAAGGCTATTCTAAGTATGGTTGATGTGGTGAGAAGTATCTGAAACAAGAAGAAGCAAATGATTGGTGACACAGTCTGAGGATGCCATCAAATCACAAACCAAGAGCAACTGCTGAAATTACTTCAATAAAAATCTTACAGTTGCCATGAAATTTCAAACTAAGACACAGTGAAAACATGGAGTTTTTTTTGTGTGTGTGTGTTAAACTCAACTAAGAGTCTCAAGAATGAATTAAGCAGTCCTGCCCTGATTCATTCTACATATGTAAGCACTGATGTGCAGTATGTGACAGTGTGGATATTTATCTCAGCACTGCCATTGCATTACTTCAAACAGCTGGGAGACTGTATACCTGCTGAGGAAGATCTGTCTTTGGTAAACATCCGTAATTAGATTTTAACAAAATGAAAAATAATTCGAGTAAGCACTGATATTTGGAGGAAGCAAGAGGAAAGGAAGTGGCTTTTGGTCAGGGACTCCCAATGTGGCTAATAGAATGTACTTCCTAAGACAATGGTTATGAATTTGCAGTCATGAAGTGAGAACAAATGCTCAGGGCAATGTGAATCTCCTTCACTAGACACTGGCTTGTTTGTGCAGAGGCATGGTAAAAAAATAAAGCACAAGTTAAATTGGGAAAGCATCAAGCAAATAAAATTCCCAGGTGAGCATTTTAGTGATTGCGGGAAGCAATGGACCATGGGAGAGTTTTGAGTGTGGGATAGTCAGAGTGGCCTTGTGCTTTTGAAATATGGGGTAGAATCACGGGTCTGCATGTGGAAGGCCTGTGAGGGAATCCTCAATGACACAGTATCTCGGTACTCCACATTCATATAGGATGGAACATAGGACATTTGGCCTGTGTTGAATCTGTTGCAAGGAAGCTTTAGCCCACTGATGGTATCTGAAAGATCAGTTAACTACTTATGGAACAAAAACTATAAACAGTTTCACTTCATGTCAAATTCTCAAATAATTGCCAACCCTCAGAATAGTTTAGTGGGTGGATATCTGTTATGAACATATCTAAGACCAAAAATCAAGTTTTAAAAATCATAAAGAAACGAAATTCAATGACACAGTGTTATAATCTTATAATAATTTGGAGGCTGAAGCAGAAGGATCAGAAGTTTAAAACCAGATTTAGCAACCTATACAGATGCTGACTCAAAGCAGAAAAATCATTTTTTAATATTTTATTTTTATTTTTTTACAAAAAGCATTTCATTACAGCTTTAACATACTCAATAACAGTTTCCAGAGCAAAGATACATCTCTTTCAAAAGTGGCTATAAAATTTTTAGGTTCACTGTTGAATTAATACAGTTATACAATATTGAACTCAGTATAAACCCTGTAAGACATAAAATTGAATGAGTTTTTAACCTTTAAAAAAGATCTCCATTTCATTTTAAAATATACTGTTTCTTACAGAAACTCGAAACAGGACTGAAGGTAGAGCTTGCTGTGGAGAGGCTTTGCAGCATGCTTGAAGCTCTAGGTTCCATCCACAGCAGTCATAAGGAAACAATGTGAAATAGATAGATACAATTTACACACAAAATTTAAATATCTATAAGTCCCTACTCAAACTTGTTAAAAATTTTAAAACAAACAACTGGGAGGCTGGAGAGATGGCTCAGAGGTTAAGAGCATTGACTGTTCTTGCAGACAACCTGGGTTTGGCACCCACATAGCAGCTAACAACCAGATATCTTTAACTCCAGTTCCAGGAATCTGATGACCTCTTCTGAACTCTATACAACATGGGTGCATTTAGATACATGCAGGCAAAACACTCATGCAGATATAAAAAATAAATTAGCAAACAACTAGGAAGATGGTTAGTCAGTACAAGTGAGAATTTATATGAAAAGATCTAAAATGAGCAAATGAAAAACAGGAAAACAGAAATGAGAAGATAATTATGAGATGAGTAAATACAGAGAACAAATAAATATTTAGGAAATATTCAGTTAAAGAAGTTAAGGCCGGGAATGTAGTCCAGTAGTAGGTATCTCACCTAGAAATTAATTGAAAGGGTATGCTCTTTCTCATGAAAATTAATAAAAGAGTTATATAGTGTCATGCTTGCAAGGTATGGTAGGCACTTTAGAAAGAGCAGGTGGGGCCAGAGTACATTGATCTTCTTTTGCAAAGTAACCTGACAATATTTATGAAAGCCTTAAGCACAGGCCCAGCAATTCTTCCTAAGAAAATGAGCCTAAATATAGCAAAAGAGCTCTCTGCAAAGTTATTCTTCAGATTACTATTTATAGTTATGCAAAAGTAGAAGTCGCCCAAATTTACAACATTCAGGAACTTATATTTATAATAGATAGATTTCATGTATATGTATTTGGTGGGAAATTGGGAAGAATTTAAATTGTGTTTACACATAATTTGTGTCACTTATGACAATGTTGATGCTTTGTTGACAATGTGATACATATGCATTTGTTCAGAGCCTCAAAAATAGATGACACACAGATGCACAAGAAAAGACAGAGGCACGTTCTTACACTCCCAGTTTTTAGGTACTACATTTATTAGACAATTTCTTTTCCTATGTAATTCTGGCTGGCAATGTGATTTGCAATAAAGTAAGCAGCCAGGGTACAAAAGCAGTTATTGCCATATAAAAGTAATAACCATGTGAGTGAATGATCAATATGAAAAAGGAACACTGGGACAAACATGCAGGGGCATGGAGCAAAGTCTAGGAAGGACATGTGGAAGGAGTGACAGATTAAGAGTTACCAGTCCTGGCATGTAGGGAGGTCAGTAAAGCCAAGGTCTCCTGAAACTTAGGCTTAGATCACAGCTTTTGAAGCTGAGGATCACAACAGTAAAAGATTTATGAATGCACAGTGATCAAAAGTTCAAAGCAAATGTGTTATGAATCCATCGTGTACCTGGAAGTACTAGGCCATACTGCATCCCACAGCTTCACTGCAGCCTTAGTTCTGCACACAGCACACACTTGGCACTGCCCGTGCCTTCACACCACACAACACCAGAAATACTGGGGCTCAGGTCCACAACTTTGTACGTTGTAAACTTCAGTGCTTTTATTGCACATGCATGCAAAGTGGTCTTTTGTTACATATTAAATCACATAATGACTTAATTATGAAAGCAAAGAATTTTGATATTCTCACCATTATTCCTCAGATGTAAGCATAAAATTAATATCTTTTTGAATTATATGTGTTAGAATGTTTGATGTTACAAACTTTTGTTTGAGTTGCTGACTTGAGTTTTGTCAAGATCATTAAATGTATTTGGGCTTGAGTTTAGGATAGAATGCTTAACTTTCTGAGGTGTCCCTAAACATGCTTCCAACATTCTGTACATATGTATCTGAGGTACTGTTCTTGGCACTGATGATTGTAAAACACCAGTCACCTCCAAAAAGCATCCATGATGCCGCATATTCAGTCAAAATTCAATTCTTTATGTAAAAATAACCAAGTATGTCCATCTCGTTGAAATACAAATTTGCTTTGCCTTCAATGAGTGGTAAAAATATATATAGCAAAGAATTGTTCACATCTGAATTTCTTTATGATTTATTATGAGTAAATATTTTAATGGTGTAACTTTTATACTTGAAGTCATACAAAATTTTCTTTAGCAAAAGAGGTTATGTGCAGAAAAAAACTAAGGTCTGATATAGGCAATCTTAGAAAGAGTGAACCATCTGTCAGCAGAGAGGGGTTCAGGAGTGGATAGATTAGTTAGAGGATCACTTTGGAATTTACTTCCTATAGTTTCATTCGAATCCAGGAGGTAAGAAGCTGAGAGGATTGCAGCTGATGATTGGTCTGTTGAAATGATCAGAAAAAAACTGTATGCTTGTGTCGCTCTGAGGAAAGAACCTCAAAACAGAATACACAAATAGCATTGCAGAAGTGGCATCCCAAGCACTACACTCTCAGCCCATGCTGGCAGTCGTCACTGGAGTCCAGAGTGTGCTGGTGGGGTGAACACATAGTGACCCATGGATTCTGCATGATAGATCATGCTTCTCTGAGGGTTTTCTTGGTGCTTCTGCTGTAGCCCGTAGGGCAATGCAGTATGCACCATGGCCTTCTCTGGGCCTGCACTTACTTCCTGCCCCTCGATTTCTGTGTGTCCTTGAATTGTCTCTGGTGGTCTAGACCAGTGCCTCTGACACCTGTGCTCAGGATCTTCTGAATAGGCAGAGTTATCATCTAGATGCCTAGTATAGGCTTTCCTTTATAGAATTTCCTTTGTTTAAAAAGGGTTTAAAAAAGACAGTCCTCAGTGAAAAACTAAACGACACCACACTTGCCCTATTCTGTACTCTAAAATCTCTCCCGAGTTTTCCCAGGGACAGTTCTTAACTGAGCATCTAGCCTTAGAGCCCTGTTTGCATGATAACTGACATACACTCCCCTCTGGATTCCTCTACCTCTACAAATACCACTCCAAGCTTCATGTCAGTGGAGGATTCTCAGTTCATGGGCCCTGGGAAGAGGGAGCAGACTCTGCCAGGATTCTTCACAGTGTTTTTGTCTGTTCACCACAGGTGCCTACCCTCGACTCTCATTGAGTTTTCGGTTGAAGAGAAACATTGGCTACTTCATTCTACAGACGTACATGCCCTCTATACTGATTACGATCCTCTCATGGGTGTCCTTCTGGATCAATTATGATGCATCTGCTGCTCGAGTTGCCCTTGGTATGTGCGACTTTTAAGTCATATCTAAAATGTAAATGACCATATCATTACAGTATTAAGGGAATTTAAAAGCTATAGTTCAACTACAGTTTTTTGACATCATGACATCATCCTTGCCCACTTAGTCACTGTTTATCTTGAAACAATAATTTCATGCATGAGTCCCTTGATGTGTTAATTTAATTATAAGGCTTAAATGTGATTTTTCATGCCCATGAAAGGGAAATATGCTTGCAGAATATTTGCATAATTTAACTATTTTTGACACTAATTTTAAAGTAAGGATTAACATTTCCTGCTCAAAATTATTCTATGGCCCAGAAAGATGACTTGATTAATTGTGCAATTCTTCTTTTTTAAGGCAGAAAAATCATCAAATATTATAGCATATAATTGAAATCACACAATTTAATGAGCATTAAAATAAGCAGCTAATTATGAGTCATTCTCAAGAGCCCTAGTAAAGTTTTCTGTCCATTGGTTATTTGGCAAATAGATTATCAGTATACTATATATATCATATCTTGATATACAATATATCTTATATGTTCTGACATTATTTTAATATTTGCTTACTAAGGCTTATATTTTCAGAAGGATTTTTTTCTACCCAGCTAATTATTATGAGACTTTATAGACAAGATCATTATGGGAATTTCAGTAAAGTAGAGGTGATGAGCCTTTCCCAGGGTATTCCTCTGGGTTGAAGTTAATTTCTGAAGGGGAGTAATGAAAAGGAACCAGGGAGGTAAAGGAAAGAAAGAACCTGAGAGAGAAGAACAGTAGGGGACAGGTGTTACTAAGGGAAACTAATAATGGAACTTTAAAAAACTGTAGGAAAAGCAACACTTCTGCCGGTAAAGCAGTGGACAGGAAAGCGTAGTTCAGGGCTCTAATTCTCCTCTTGCACCTGCCTTTCTCCAGGGCCAAAAGTTGACTTAATGTTACATTTTCTAAGACAGTGCATGTATGTGAATGCCTGGCTTGGACCCATAGCTATGTAACACGCACAGTTGTCTTCATGATTAGACATTTTACCTCCTAGGAAATAGCACATAAATATGGCTTAAGTGGAAAAAAAATAGACAGCAAGTACTAGAGGTGTTGGGAATTGCTGTATTGTATAATAAAATACTCTGGGAAAAAAAGAATAAAAAAAATTAAGAATTCTACATTAAAATTGTTTTGTATTTCTAATGGCTATAATGAGCAAAGTTCTCTTAAGTCTCTAAGATTTCTCTTTAGCTGCGGAGTTTGCCTGCAGGTTACACTTCTTTTTGTTTTGAATATCACTAGATCACTCCTTCCTACACTATTTTGTTTTCTTTGTATCTACAAAATTCAGAGACAATGAATTTGTAGAGACTGATCCAGATTTTGCAGAGCTGTTATTTTATAAACTTTGAAGTTCTTTCTTTTAAGGAAAAAAATACCTATAGGAACAAACAAAATGTTACTGGGACCCCTTCCAAACCTGGAAAAGGCTGTAAGCTGAAATGTCAGGAGCTGTAGAGCGGCTCTGCTGCAGGGAAGCTGTTACTGCAATTAGAGCAATATAATAACAAAAAAGATGTAATTACCTGGCGATGCAAGAGACTAGTCATACTGAAGATGTGACTCTCCAATGTTCCCAGCTACTACAAATTCTGTACCTGCTTAGTCATAAAATATTGTCTCCCATAATGTGAAACAGCCTATCAGAAATGGTTTATGGCAATCCAAACTCACCATGGTTAAGAAAGTTGCTTCCATGTTTTCTTAATGATATAGCACTGTTATTCTTACCTTAAACCATGCCTTAGTAGCATTTATGGAATGATGTTGCTCACAGACTTCATCCCTTGAAGACTGTCAGGTCAGACAAGGGTTAGAGGTGCAAGACGTACCAGAGGCAGAAGGGAGTAGATATTTACAAACGCACAGTGAGCCTGTTGCCCTGAAGTCCACAGACAGCAATCATCTTAGGGCCAGTGAGGTCTGTTTGGATAAGAAGGTCCTTGTGGGTACTAGCCTCAGAGGAGATGAAGTAGTCTTTATGGGACCGAGTTAGTTCTTGGGAGAGAATTGTAAAAAACTGACTTCTCCCCACCTTTGGCTTTTTAAACTGTTATGTGACCTTTCCCACTCACTTACTTGGCCACCATGGTGCCATTCACCATGTGAGGCCACCAAGATGGACAAGCCTTCATCATCCCTGAGATATTAGAGCTAGCCTCCTGGAAGCTGAGAAAACAGTACTGGCGAACATTGTGGTATTTTTGAATAATGGGGAGAATGCCTAGTTTTATAGCATTTGGGTGGTGTTTTCACATTTATTTGTAAACTGTAATTATCCCATTGCCATGTTCAAATTTTTTAAATCCCCAGGTGCACATGAATATAATGTCAAAGGGAATCTTAAAATATTCTGACATCTGAGATTTCCGTACATTTCATAAGCAATCGTGGTTTGCAATTATACTTAAAAATAGCTTCTTGGCTCTTGGTTTTCTTCTCTTGCTGTTAGTAGCCTCTCAGAGCTCAGGGAGGGTGAGCATGTGCTGCAGGGAGAGCCTTGGCTCCTTCTCTGCTACTTTTCCCTCATTATGGCAGCCTGAGCTCTGCAGCCCAGGGATCTTCTCTGGAAGGCACAGGGAGAGGGAGCATGCCTCTGAGGGCAGATAGGAAACTAGAGAGCTGTAAACCAAGACACTTAATAAATCCACCCCCCGATAGGTGGCCCTGCCTCTGCCCCAGAACCTCTGTCTTACATGTGCTGAGCTGCTGAGTGGGCACGGCCTCTAAGCCTCAGGCGCATCAGTCACTTTTTTGTGACTTTTTTGTGATGAAGAAATTATCGGTCTCTTCCCTGTGAGTGGCTCCTTTTTGAAGTAAATCCTAAAATAAGAAGGCAGAGGCAGCTGTTTTGTCCACTAGGTCCTAGAAGACACACTCATGATCACAGTGAGCAATGTCAGTTTCATTAGTGGAAAAGGCTGGTCCTTTGGAGCTACAACACTCTGACAGAGTTCTTACTATCAGAATAGTACAGTCACCATGGCAGGAAATCAGTTTGTTTGTTGCCATGACACTCAGAAGTGAGTGACCTATGCCTTCTGCAAGCACAGCTTCCCTGGATTCAACAAGCTCTGATCATGTCACCACCAGCATGCCACTAGTTTTTGTGGCTTTAGCTCATTTAATCTGTAATCTCTGTATCTGGAGAACTATGCCTCATACTGTGGGAAGATTGTGAAATATGCTGCTTATGTGGCCTAAAAGACTACACCTCACTCCCTTAGGAAGACAGGCATCCTTCATACAGCACTGTGTAAAGAATCCAACCAAGTGGAAAAAAAAAAAAAAGAGGATCTGTTCAGTGTTAGAACATGAGATTCCGAGACAGGAGCAAATCCCTCAGTCCTCCTTTGAATGCACATTTTCCTGGTTGAGAGAAATGACTCTGTGAGCACATCTGTCCTAGGGCTTCACTCAAATGGCCTCTCTCTTTCATCTCAGAACTAAGCTTCTCCTTGATGCTTCAAAGCCCCTCGCTTGCTTCCAACCAACCTTGGCATAGTACAGCAGCCACACTAAACTTCACGGGGGCCAGGCCTCTGCAGCCCAGACCACACAGCAGGCTCTGTCAGTTTCTTGGGGTTTCCCAGCTAGACAATCAGAGCATACTTACATTCTGGGATTGTCTGCATTTCTTTTAGCACTCATGGGGAGGATGTTCTTCTTAGCTACTCTGGCCAGGGCTGGAGACTGCTGCACTCATACTGTGTTTGTTTCCTAGGGATCACCACCGTGCTCACCATGACGACCATCAACACACACCTTCGGGAGACTCTACCTAAAATCCCCTATGTCAAAGCCATCGACATGTACCTAATGGGCTGCTTCGTTTTTGTGTTCCTGGCTCTTCTGGAATACGCCTTTGTCAACTACATTTTCTTTGGAAGAGGCCCCCAAAGGCAGAAAAAGCTTGCGGAAAAGACAGCCAAGGCCAAAAATGATCGTTCCAAGAGTGAAAGCAATCGGGTAGGCTCTAAAGGCCTGCGGCTTGTTCCTAAGGCCTCCCAATTCACCATGTGACCTTTGAGGAGCTAGACCCTCCTTGCCCCTAATGCTATGAGATATCTTAGTGCAAGCCACAGGGTTCCATTTAACCAACATTAATGCAGGTGCTGGAGAGGCCAAGTTTCCCAGTGTCCACGGGAAGGAACGGAAGGGGAGGCTCTGGAAATTAAGGCTCTAGCATGATCTGGGGAAACTATTTACCAAAATGACTCAGTATCCTCTTAGTTCTAAAATTGCAGGTTTGATCATCCAACCTGCTTCAGTATTGGGCAGAGTAGTAGGCAGCCACCTCATTGCTCCACTCTCCTGCTAGTCACAGTCCCATGGGGAGAACCCTGAGTATAAAGCTGGAACCAGCAGGGCAGGCTCTGACAGATATGTACCAGTTCTGGCCTCTGCCCCTGGGGTGCACCCTGTTCTGCACAGTAGGGGTTACCCATTCCACCAGAAAACCAGCAAAAGTCCCCTAAAGGCCAAACTTGTATAGTACCCTTACAGTAACAAGGGTCTATGTCATTGGATGGCATTTGTTTGCTTTCATAAAAACATTTTAATGATATTTTAATGAAACACATTATAGTTTCTACAAAGAGTCTTTAAATCTGGCCTTTTAGATCTTCATCTCTTTAAATCCTCAAGATTATTTCCTCTACCAGTTTAAAGGCTGGGCTTACTCCTCCATTTCTTTGAGGGTTTTTTTTGTTGTTGTTTGTTTGCTTGTTTTGTTTTTTGTTTGTGTGTTGTATTACGTTTTTTTATTCTTGTTTTTAAATCTTACTTCTCAAGCCCCTGAAGGTTTGCTGTCCTGTCCTGATCTCCTCCTGCCAGCCTGGGTCTCTAGTGCTGCCTGACCTGGGGTGGCCTGGAATAAGTAGCACATGTCCGTGAATGGGCTGAATCCAGTTCAGTGAGTGGGAGTGTCCCCTTCCTTTTTGTAAAGCATAAAGTTGTTCAGTAAACCCAGGATTTAGGAATAAAACTAGGTTTTCCACAGACAGAATTATCTTGAATATCTGACTGGAAAATCTACTTAGTGCTATGCTGCTGTGTTTCTAAAAAGATGGCAGCCTACTATGAATACACAATATGCTTTGGCCGTGTGGTTTCCAAGGAAACTAGAATTCATCATGTGGTTGTTGTCTCCGTGACAGAGCACATGTACAGACACATCCATGAACAACGCTGTCTTTCCCAAATCTTGTTTTATTTAAAGAGTATAAATGTTTCCATTTTTTTTCTAAATGAGACTGTTTAAAACAGTGAAATTGTCGTGGTTCAGAAATATCCTTTTGAATATGAAGTGTAAAATCAAAAAGAAAACCCCAGCCCTATACCATTCACGAAGAAAATTATCAGAATGTGGAAAGAATATAAATATGATGCAGAAAAAAATCTTAAGTTGATTCATAACTCCATTTTAATTTTTCCCCTGAATTTTATTTCTTTTTTTCTGAATCATTTTTGTTGCCATTCAGTTCCTAAGTTTTGAAGTCAGCATACAAATATTCATGTATTCTGATTTGGGGCACCTATCTGATGCTCTTAAACATAAGCATGAAAAATTATTCCTTCCTTACCTAATAATTTAGTGATAATTTTTCTAAAACATTTTTATTATTATTTGTTAATTTTATTTTATGTGTATGAGTGTATTGCCTGCATGTATGTGAGTGTACCCAAGTCATGCAATGCTGCGGAGTTCAGAAGAGGGCTTCAGATTCCCCTAGAACCAGAGTTAAGGATGGTTCGTAGCCACCATATGGGTGCTGGGAATTGACCTGGGGTCCTCTGCAAGAGCAGTCAGTGCTCTTAACTGATGAGCCATCTCTCCAGCCCCAGTGATAATTTTTAAGTAGAAATGAACCTCCCCAAAAGCTTATATCCTGATGTAGATGATTATAAGAAAAAAGATGAGGAAAGAGTTATATATTTCATACCAGACAGAAAAGGACTAGCAAACAGGGCAGCAGCTCCTTGTAATTGTCACTTATGAGTTCATAGTCCTGATGCTTAACTTTATCAGTGTGGTGAACCACAGCCTGTAGCTTTCCCCTGACTGATGGGAAGTGTCAATCTACTATAGGAAACTGACTTCTCATTGTCTTTCCTAAGAAAACTGCCTGACCCATGGGGCATGTCATGGGCAGACAGTGTCCTCCAGGGCATTGCAGGCCATTAGCCAAGGATTTCTGCTATGAGCAACTGCGTGTGGGACTGTTATTGACCCTGTTTGTGAAAAAACAGGAGTAGATTTTCCTTATACTTAGTGGTTGTGCAATATTTTAACTTAGCAGTTGATTCTTAGATGTGCAGAATACCTCTTCATTTCTCCTGATACAGTACAGTGTTTTCAGAGTTGTTTCTGTTCCAAAGAACAAGACTGCGGTCATAGTGCACACATGATAATTACAAACCATGTGATATCTGGGAAATGACCAGTTGGTTTGGCATTTGAATGTCATGAATGAAGTGTGTGTGTGTGTGTGTGTCTGTGCCTGTTTGTCTGTGTCTGTGTGTCTGTGTCTGTGTCTGTGTAATGCTAAAGATTGACCTCATAGCCTCACACATACTCGGTAAATCATAATTCTTGAAAAACATCAGATTTACAATGTTATTTTTGCTAAGAAGGAAGGTTTCATGCCTTCCTCACATGGCAAATATTTCTTATTCTTCTGAAACTAAAATTTTGGACCTGCTGGAGTTTGGAAGGTAAGTGGAGAATTAGATAGCCATTTTGTGCCAATCTGGTGACATATTCTAAGGGAAAAAACAAAAATCCTTCTGTGATGTACTGTGAATGACATGTTTTTTATTTTTGGAGGTCTGCACCTGTCAGGGTTACAGAACAGGAAGAAAAACTACACTGAAATCAGAGACTCTAATTATAGTACATATGAGATGGACACTTCAAAATAAGGAGAATTCATGAAATGATTTAAAAATTACTAGTCATCTGTCATTCTATAAAGAGCATTTTGGTCTTATATTTCATCTGTAATCATTTTTTTTCTATTTTGAGACTTGCATTCTAGATGTAAAGATGATAGGAAAAGATCAGCATCTCTCAGAAATATTTACTTAAACACAAGATTTCCAAGACTTCATACATTTTAATACTCTTTAATCTTTTCAGAAAAAAGTCAGTAATTTTCTATACATTGGTTCATGTTTAAATCAAACCTGTGTAAAAGTAAAACCATGAGTAAAGCAGCCAAACTGTTTTAAACTAAGATCTTGATTCAATATACATTTACATTCTTTTACATGCCTGAATAAGTATTATTTCTGATATTGTTTCCATTACAAGTGTTCATCCAATCTGAAATAAAATCAAATCATACAATAGTATTGGTTCTTGAGTTCTGCTTCACAGGACCTTTCTCAGATAGATGCAGAGCGATTATTAAGGTTCAGAACAGCCAAGCTCTCTTGACTAATTGCTCATGTTTCATTTTTTAGTTTCCAAACTACTAGGAACATTCGTAGGGAAGCATGGCTTTGCTCAGACTCAGCTTCCTTCACTGAAGTTCAAAGACACAGACAGATTCCCACTTTCATGAGATCATTTCCCAAACATACAGCAGTGGCTACAAGGGCCCAGGGAAGACAAGTCATTGATTTGCACAGCTCTGTCCTTAAACCTTAAAACCACAACCTTTTTTCTTATGTCTCTAGTATCCCTGTGTGGTTCCTGACATCATCATGTATGCCATCTCTCTGCTTTTCCTTCCTTCATTCTGTTCTCCCTGCCTAGTATGTTTCTTCTTGCTTGACATCCTCCCCACCTTCAAGATCTAAGACAGGTGTAATTCATAGAACTTTCCTTCTTTTCTTCCTTATCAGTGTTTGTAGGTGCCTCAGTCACTCCCTGATCCAAATCCTTGTTTTTGTTCCTGTTCTCCCAACTTCCAGCACATCCTTTCTACATGTGAAATGGCAAATCCCTTGCATTCTATGTATACACTTGGCTTTCTCCACCAGACTGCACCCAGTTCCTTGCCTCTATGAAAATACATGGAGCCTGACTCCATTGTGGCAAATGTTTAAGTCAGGTGGCATTCCTCATGGGCGTATCTGGTCTTACTGAACTGGTAGGATTCTCACACACACACACACACACACACACACACACACACACACACACACACACAACACATACACACACATAATTTCCTAGTGGGAAGAGAGGACAAGGCTTATAAATAATCATTTTTAAAACCAAGTAAAACTGAGTATTAGAATCATGACAACCCAGCATTCTATGAGAACAGATACTTCTCCCCTTGGTATTTCATCCCACAGAATTATTAATTTGGATCCCTCAGGTTTTGATAAAAGGAGCTTTTCATATTATTTTTGGTAACTAGAAAAGGAATGAATTTTAAAATTTGCTTAAATGGCAGCCTGTGGTCTTTTAAAAAGTGTATTTGCTGATACTGGAGTGATAGCTCAGTGATTAAGAGCCCTGGGTACTCTTGCAGAAGACCTGAGTTCTATTCCCAGCACCCACATGGCAGCTCATGATTGTCTGTAACTCCAGTTCCATAGGATCCAACACTCTTCTGCTTCAGCAAGCACCAGGCATATATGTGGTACTCATACTTACATGTAGGCAAACTCTCATACACTTAAAAATAAATAAAAGCTTTACAAAAATGTGTCTGCTGATCATTGAAGTTCTCACTAGACTTCTTGAGAAGAGGACTTTCTGCACTCATCTTCATGGTTCAGAGCCTAGTCTACAGATGACCCTGGTGGGAAGCAGGTGTACAGTCATGTATGACAGACCTCTTATGCAAATCCCCAGTAAGGATCACTTTCTAAAGTGGCCAACTACCCCTTCACCTCTCAGTGTTGTTCTTAAAGAATTGCATGGATTATAAAGAACATTTTTCTATATTTTTGTGATGTTTTCTAAGGTCTTTTCTACCTTGGAAGAAAATGGTTGAGTTTTCTGAGATGTTAATAATACAATAAATGACTTATTATTGAAAAAAATAAGTTAGTACCTTAAACAATCAGTACCTTCCACTTTAGGATTTTTCTCTTGCTCAACTTCAGGAGCACAATAGTTTTAAAACATATATTCTTAAAATGTTGGACATTTAAGAAGAATTAAATTGGACTTATGTAATAAGTGGACTCAATTTTATAAGTGGTGACTGAATATACTTTGCCTCGTGATCAAAGACAGGTATTAGATAGATTGTTGCCTATACTCACTGCAGTCAACTGACGGAATGAAAAAACTGGACAGGATTTAGTGGCCTGAGTTCCTTCCCACCCACAGCTCATTCCTTTACCAGCCAGTTCTCACTTTCATGCCATAAAGCACAATGGATTATGCCGGAGGAGATGAAGACTAGTGAGGTGGGCTCTGGCCTGCTCACTTGCTTCTAACTGTTCTTCATGTATAGGAGATCAGCCGTCCCTTGATGGGCTCCACCCTGCCACATCCAGAGCAAGTTCACATCACCCTTCTTAGGGTGGGTGGATGTGGCTCAGCTTACTCACAGCTGAAATCTGCTACTGCCCTGCTGCCTATGCCAGCATATGACACACTCCTTCGCTGTCCTCTCCTGTTTCAGCCACCCCATAATGCATCTGGGGCTTCTCCTGTCTCATCCTGTTGGAACCATTCAGTCTTAAAAACCATAGAACAATCCTTCTGGTCCTGAAGGCAGCAAACAGCCTTCATCATTAAAGTAGTTTTTTTCTTAATCATTCCAGGGGAAGATTGCAAAAAGCTGACACAGGGGACTAGAGAGATGGCTCAGTGGTTAAGAGCACTGATTGCTCTTCATGAGGACCTGAGTTTGCATCCCAGCACCCACATGGTAGCTAACAACTGTTCATAACTCCATTTTCAGGGGATCTGACACTGTCTTTTGACCTCTGTGGGCATTGCTCAACACAGATGCACTTGCATGCATGCAGATAATACAGTCATACAGATAACATAAAAATAATAAAAATTTTTAAAAAGCTGATACATACATTCCAAAATTCTACCAAAAATCAACTTTCCCAGTTCTTGTGAGACATAAGCTCACAGAGTGAGTTCTAGGTCAGCATGGGCTACAGTGAGACCCTGCCTCAAAAGCAAATAACAACAAAACAAGAAAGAACTGGCAAGATACAGAGTCAAGTTTCTGTTGCTACAGACACACACATACTGCCCTCTCAGAGAGACCCAGAGCAGATACTAGGATCTGTCCCAGGGCAGCTGTCCACAACCTTTAGCATTTCTTTTCCAGACTGCCCATGTAGAGACCAGTGTGATAGACTTCCTTTTTCCTCTCAAATTCAGCTTTTATTCTTGATTTTGTAAGCTTGTATCTTACGTCAGAAATATATTGTTTTTCTGCTTATAGATCATTTTCATGTCTTGTTCTAAAAGCATACCTTTGAAGTTTATTAGACATGACATACAGAAAGTCTTATTGGCCTAGCTCTAATCTGCCTTCCCATTCATCACTAAGAATCATCTACTATTATAATTAGATGAGAGGAAGAGGGGAATGAAAGATAGGAAGGAAAGGAACACTCTAGCACAAGCTTAGCATGTTCACAGAACTATGTTTATACATTGTCTTAGAAACTTGAGTTCACTTAACTAGTTTGTGTTGCACAGAATGCTTCAGACCTTTGCTTGACCTGAAATCAGTCTCAGCCTCTCTCTCTCTCTTTCTGACCTTTGCAGGCATTGCACACATGCTGGTAATACATTCATACCCATTAAAAAACAAATGATGTCTGGCTCGCTCTCTCTCTCTCTCTCTCTCTCTCTCTCTCTCTCTCTCTCTCTCCTGTGTTATTTCTCCTTTCTTCTTTTTGCAGCTAAGGATAGAACCCAGGGGCCTTATATATACCAGAAAATTGAAAAGAGATTTTCCCTCTCACTTTCTGTAGCACTTTTGAATGTTGTTATGACAGAATACCACAAACAGTTAAAGCGCATCCATTTGTATCTGATAGCTCCTTGGGACAGTAGGGCTTGGCTGGAGATACCACTCAGTCTCACAGGCTGAAATTCAAGGGGCTCTGAGATAAAGGTCCGCATTTAGGTGACTGACCAAATAGTCCCTTGTGTTGTAGGACTGTTTGGCTGTCAGCTGGGTCCATACTTGGTTTCTGTGGGCTGCCGTATTCCCTCATAACTTTCCTGAAGTCCCTTCCACGAAGGGCAAGTTGAGTCCTCCTTAGGCCTGCCATCCCTCTGCTTCATTTTCTACTTAGAGCTAGAAAAGTTTTGTACTGCACTTGTGAAAGCATATGTGATAAGATTGTGTCCAGGTAGTTAATTCAAGACAAGCTGTCTTTGGGTTTGTACCCTTGATTGCATCTACAAAGTTCTATGATAACCCCCTCTGGAACTTGAGACTTGAGGCTGTAATTAAGTGACTTTACGAGATGTTCTCAAAATACTGTGTGTTCAGCTCAGTGGCCTGAACCTAGGTAGCTCCTGCTGATATGTCCCTTCCTGAGCCCCAGCCACTTTGCAGTCAGTAGCCATGACCCTGAGCTCTTCACTCTGCCCAGAGCTTCCCATGGCCCCCTATCTCTTCATAGGTAGGAGTCAGGCATCCTCTCTGCCCACCTTGGCATTTTCTTGGGAAATCTCAATACATCAATAGAATATTTATTCTCCTACAAAGCAACTAGTAGTTCATGGAAGAAGCCATAGATAATCCAGTGCTAGAAGGATACTAGGCTTTCCCAGGACAAAGAAAGGAGAGGAGATATAACCCTCACGACTAAAGAACATGACACAGATGGGAAGCTATGGAGTATGCTGGAATGGATGCACAGGGACCCCAGAGAGCCCGGGGAAGCAGGGAATGCTCTTCTCAGAGAGAAGACACAGGCTCCTCCCAGGGGGTCTTCATCTCTAGCCACAGGCTCCCCTAATTGTATCATCCTTCAGTCACTAGGAGGCTGCTGAAATTTCCATGTCAAACTAGTCAACACATGGGCGGTTGGCATTGTCATGAAATGTCTGAAGCCGTATTTAACACAGGATAAAGCTTTATCCTTTAAAGTTGGGCTCCACTGTAGAAATAGACTTCCTACTTTAATATAGTCCTTTAAAAAGAGGGCCTCTACTTAGGGCCAGGATTAGGCATGTAGACCCCACTTGGGTGGAGTCTATATCTACCCCAACATTCATCATGTGAGCCCTCAGGACTGTTCCCTTGCTTCCCCACAGTAATTTTGCAATTTTAACCATCAAAGACGGGGCTAGCAGGCTGGGGTATACCTGAGGGAAAGAGAGCATGCTTCACATTTCAGCCCTGGGTCCAGTGCTGGGCACTCAAAAAAGGACAAGCTGACTTCCCAAGAAGAACCTCCACACCCACCCCAGGGATACTTTAAACCATTGGTATCCAATATTATATATAATGTACTTTTCCTATAATATGTGCCCAAGGCAAAGCTTAAGCTGTAAATTAGACACAATAACAACAGAATATGATAATAAAATTGAGTAATTATGGCAATGTATTGCGACTAAAGCTATGTGCACATGGCCTTCTGACACAGTCTCACCTTCTTTGCCTGGTGGTTGTGTCAAAAGGTGCAATGCCTGTGTGACCAAGAGGGAAGGCGAGTAATGCTAGTATTGGTCATAGAAATGGACACTGAGTTAAGATGGTGCCTGGGGAACTGCAGCTATGGAAGGGGGAACTGCTGTCATTTCTATCCAGTGTTCAATTATGAAAAATGGCTGTAAGATGAAGTCAACAAGGTGCTTGTACTTCTGTTTTCTCTTCAGTAAGGACTCCAGTTTATAATGTAACGAAATTTTAATTGGAGAAAGGGCCCCTCCTGTAATGAAATTTCAGTTGGAAAAAGGGCCCCTCCCCTTATTTTCCCTGATTTCCTGTGTGAGAACTTTTAAATCAGGAAAATAAGTCTCCAAGCTCTAATAAATCAAATCTGGAAGATTATATTTTCCCATCAAATGAGGCACTGGGGTTGAAAGATGCGGTTTTTCTAAACTATATGGCATGATTGTGTGGCTTGGGTTTGCATATGTAAATTAGATTTATGGACATGCTAGCTGCCTTATGGTGTGTATTTTCTTCCAATTAGGTGGATGCTCGTGGAAACATCCTATTAACAACACTGGAGGTCCACAATGAAATGAATGAGGTTGCGGGCAGTGTTGGTGACACCAGGAATTCAGCAATATCCTTTGACAACTCAGGAATCCAGTACAGGAAACAGAGCATGCCCAGGGAAGGGCATGGGCGATACATGGGAGACAGAAGCATCCCGCACAAGAAGACCCACCTACGGAGGAGGTCTTCACAGCTCAAAATCAAAATCCCTGATCTAACCGATGTGAATGCCATAGACAGATGGTCCAGGATCGTGTTTCCATTCACCTTTTCTCTTTTCAACTTAGTTTACTGGCTGTACTATGTTAACTGAGTGACTGTACTTGATTTTTCAAAGACTTCATTTAACACTGAGTGAATATTACCCTGCCTGTCAAGTTTTTATACCAGTACACAACACACACACACACGCACGCACGCACATATACATACACAATTGTATATATATGTGGACTTTCTCAGCATATATATAAAATACCTGTGTATATGAGGATGTATGTGTATATGTTTCTACACACAGGTGTATGTAAAACAAATACACATACATACATACATTTTGCAGCTATGGACAATTTAACACAGGATGCATATTAAAGAAAGTCATAGGATTTTTTTTCTTTTTTAATTGAAAGGGACAAGTATCTAAATATTATGCCTCGAGAATGAGGGCGTGAAATATGATGTCATCCCAAAGCGTGTCTTTTATTATCATAAGTTAGATGTGTTTGCTTAAAAATCAGAAAGAAATTCTTAGTTGATCTTTGGGAACTCCCACAGTGGTAGTCACACACTTCACATTCTGTCTTTCAGTTCACTGAGCCAAGGCTTGGTGGCCTCTCTAGGGATGGGTTTGTTTTACCAGGTTTGCTTTTTCTGTAATGGGTCAGCAGAGACGGTGAGTGGCTGCAGTACACTTACATGATGTCTTATGTATAGATAGATCCCATGTTCGTGTCTGAACATCCATCTTCTGAAAACCCATTGGGAATGAACGGTGTCCCATTGTAAGTACTGCATTGTCCCACACATGTGGGGCTTTTCTGTTCACTTTGAGTGGATCCAACTTAACTGTCATGTGGGAACACAGTGGCACGTTTTGACAATGACATTCAATCACTGAAAATGTGCTCTACATCTCATTCAGATTTCTAGGCCTGCTATCTAACAGAAAGCATAGACGTCTCAGGTTCTTTGTTACTCTAAGGTAAAACCATCTAGAATGATTTTCCCTCCTGCAGTTATGTTATCATTCTTATAACATTGTATGTTAATATAAATATATTTGCATAATATGCATACATATGTATATTACCAAGATTTTGTTTCTTCTGCTTGCTATCATGGCAGCATGCAACGTCATATTTTTCATTCTGTGATGTAACTACTTTCTGTTATCTAGAAATTAAGATTGAATCTAAAACATTTCTACTGTTTCTACTGTTCACTTTCAGAAACTTAAGAAACATCCTCACGCCCTTATTTCTGTACTGACATATCTCATAAGCACATCCACCCCTCCTAGACTGACTAGGATTCTGCAGGAACATGACCAGTACACACCACAATCACGCAACAACCCATGACCGTTCCTGAGGCAAGGAGGGCAACCTGACACAAACACAGTCACTTTTGGTTCCTTCTGCTCCACAGCCTCATCAGTATTTGGACTTTTTAAAGCTCGTAGAAACAAGACAAGGTGCATCGGTTTCATAGACGCAACCTTAACTTACTATTTAGATGAGCTCTTTCTAAAGAAAAAAAAAGATGATATATTTTTTGTAAACAATATTTCTATCACAGTCATCCATAAACTGAAATGATTGCAGTTGTGCAAATAGGCATCACAGTGAAGCATTTGGAAGACAAAATAAGCAAAATATGTAAGAAAGAACTGCTAAATTAATGCTTTTCCCCAAAACCCCATATTCGCCTCCCCCTTGAGTCTGGCACCATCTTCTTCCACATAGGCAACAGCAGCACTCTCCCCAAGGATGTGTGTGATGTGAACTATCACCATGGACTGACACTACTTGATTTTTCTTTGGTGGCCATAGCAACCTTTAATCTGTGGGAATCTGCGACTGTTCAAAACCCACCATTAGATAAAAACATGATCCACAAAATCTCACATGAGAGGCAGTTACAGTTTGCATGCCCTTTCCTGTTCCATTCCTGTCTGCTACATCTTCTCCCAATACTGCTCTTTGGTTTTACTTTTTATCTAGAGATGAGCCAGTAAATTTTGGCCTTTGGCTTTTCTCTGGGAATTTTTTTCCATGGGTAACAATGGGAGGATCCAAAATTTAAGCCAATTAGAAAAAATCTTGTAAGTGGCCTTATTGTTGTAACATGTTAAAGGAGGAAAAAAAAAGTCTGCAAAGACCTTATCCCTTTCAATACTTTGGGTATCTTTCTGTATCCAGCAACTCAAGATGTAAGCGCCACATGCAGAAGAGGACCCCAAAATGCAGTGTGGCAGAAGCAGTCAATGGCTGATAATTTATCAGACTCAGAACTGTGACATTTTTTCTGGGAGAAAAGTGACTCAAAATTTTTGATACATGGTTGAGATACCCAAACATCAGAGGCAGAGCCACCGCCCCCCGACCCCACCACCACTCAAAGGAGCAGCAGTCTCCTTCCTGAGATTTCTGGATATAAATTTGCATGGTATAGTCATAATAACTTTTGAGCTTTTTATATACATTTGGCATAAAGACAGGGATCCACAACTTTGTAGACACTGCGATGAAGATAACATAGTAGCTAGACAATAAGTAGTATTTATAACTACACACACATACACACACAAATACATACGTGTATTATGTAAAAAAACCTTTTTGAGATCCTTGGGTATGTGTTTGCTTTACTCCAATTCAGAAGAAAATTACTTTCTTCTAGTAAAATTATTTTATAGCTTCTCCATTTTTAAAGGTGTGTGAAGTGTTGAGAACTCCGGGTGTGCTAACAGAAGAGTGGGATTGGTTCTCTTCTGTTAAAGTAACCTCTCATCACTCCATAGTAACAATTTGAAATAGGGAGTGAGCACAGGGAAGAATTCCACCATCACCTCTGAGGTGAGGGAGCTATTACCCATGCCTAGAGCTCTTGAGTAAGGACAAAAAAATTTTAATTTCTCAACAATTCAGAGTAACAAACCATTATTTTCTTAGTAGTACTGTCTTTCCAAAATGCTTCATGGAGGGCTCAGGACAAAGTCTATGAGGACAGTCTTTTATTAGCCCTATTCAGATATGCCTGTGACAACTCAAGAGCCCTCCTGCATAAGTCCCAGCAGAGAAAGACTGACCAGACTGAAATCATCTTTAAAACAAGAGTTGTTCCTGCTCACCAACCCCAGGACTGTCCAGGGTTTGGGCTATCAATATCATGACCCACTTGGTACCCTCAAATTTCAGATGAACTGGAAAGTATGTCATGATAATATTCCCATTAGGTTTAAAGCAACATGTCCTCTGCAGTGTTGTATGTTTTAATGCCAATATGGGAACTGGGACAACTTCAGTCACTCCCATCAAAAGTACTTTGCTCCTGTCTAAACGTGGAGTTGACATTTTCACCAATGAGATCATCCCAGAGGGGATGCCAAACTCATCTGGGCCTGGCTCTAAGGGTCAGGCACATTGCGGTTGTATTTGTTCCACATGGGCACATTCTGCAAAGATGTGTGTCCAACTTTAAATCTTGTGACTTGAAAGTATAAAGCTTCTATAATTCTTACTTTAACCCTCCACCTGAAAATGAGTTCATATTTCTGGCCGTTTTATGTAAGCCAACCGAACAATTGGTAAAATATTTTGTTACTCTTGGAACCAATGCTGGCTCTTATGTCAGTGTGAGCTCTTCATCAGAGTAGCATTGACTCTTGGGGCAGAGAGCTTCCCTGGTGGATTAAATTTCCCAGGACACTAGCTAGTGTGCCTTGGACTGATTACCTCTTCTACTGCATTGAAAGGTGCCATGTTCTCCTGAATTACTAAATCCTCCCCGTCACCTTGTAACAGTGACCTCCCAGAGTGGCTTACGTACCACACCTCTCCTAGGGATGGCCCATGGACATGTCATTTGTAACTCATTTTTCTGCTTCCCAAGTCAGTAGATGTGTTCAAGGTAAGTACAGGATTGTTCTAGTAGGTATAGGTGGTTGCTGTCCTGATTGATACCCATGTCAATTTCATTTCATTGTAAAGATAAATTTAAACCCAGTTTTGCTTAAGCACATTGATGTAATTTTTTGGTATTATTTGACATGAAAAAAATCAGCAAAATTGAGTGACAGATACAATATGAAACTTGTTGAATGAATTCAAATTTATTAAAAAAGGACTGAGAAATGTGAAGGCTGATTTGTTTTTCTTCCTTGAGGATCTATTGTAGAATGATGTGGCTATTTTAATCCAGTCTTGTTTAATTGCACATGTCCACTTGGGTTATTTGAAAATAAAAAGAATTTAAAGCCCTAATTTGAGTGCCTAACATAATAGCCAAGGTGTTTTTTTTATGTCACAATTTATATGACTTTTATATAAGAACCTGGGTTCAATCTTTAGTACTGAAAAGACAATCACAATTTAATTTGAAATTCTGGACTTTAAAGAATACTAGACACAAAAACTTTGATCTGTCATCTTCCAATTAGTATTTTAAGAAAGAAATATTGCTGAGCATGGTAGTGCATACCTTTAATTCCAGTACTGGAGAGGTAAAGGCAAGTGGATCTCTGAGTTCAAGACCAGCCTGGTGTACATAGTGAATTCCCGGCCAGCTGGGGCTACAGGGAGACCCTGTCTCAAAATACAAAACAAAAAAAAGGAGGGAAAGAAGAAAGAAATGTATATTAAAAAGCAGAAAGTATTCTCTCTGCCTCTCTGGTCACCTATCCTCCCTTGAGTTCTCCTGAATTTTAAGGAAATTTCTCTTGCTGCTTTCCCAGTAAGAAAGTAAAACGCCTTCTTGGAATGAACAGATAAGCAGGTGAATGCATGAATGCATTTAGATCCTGGGCAGTTGAATTCAGAGAACTCTGTTATTGAGAGGTCTCCGTTTCACCCCCAGTGACCCTGAGCACTGTAAGATGCATTTGCCCAGGGGCTACTGAGCAGCAAGTTTGTATCCACATACAGCTACTTAAGCAAAAATGCACAAGTCTTGTATTCCAGGTCTGCAATGAGGTCATGACTGGGACATAGCTAAAGCTACTTTTTGTTTGTGGTGAGGATCGCTGCAAAGATATTTCTCACCTACTTCACTGGGCCAGTCCAGGTGATAAGGAATTCTGCCTGAATTTCTTAGAGCTGCTTCTAAGGAGTACTTGTTTCAGTCGCGGGGGGGAGGGGGGCTTGTTTCAGTCACTGGGGGTTTCGCCCTGGGGTCCAGCTGTACCCAGGGAGCCTCCACCCAGACTGCTCACTTCTCTGCTGTTTGCTGCCATAGCCCACATTCACATGTGGCTGTTTTACAGCTTTTGCTCAGACCTCCCCTTTACTAGCTTGTAAAGCATAAGGTTTATCATTGCTCCTTGCAATGACAATAAACCTCAGAGAAGGCTGACTCTTCAAAGGCTGCAACAGTTTCAAGATAGGGCAGGTGGGACTGCTCCTGGTATTAGAGGGACACACTCCATGACTCTTGCTCTTAGGTAAGCAGGGTCAACCTAGAATCAACAGTGAGCAACATAGAAAGCACCTGTGCTTAAAAAAATAAGGTGGACTGCATCTGGGTCCATCACTCGGCAGTTGAATACATGCAGCAGACCCTATTCAATACCCTGTACCACTAGAAACAAGTTATAAATAAATTAAATAAATAAATAATAAGCACTGCATTGAAATGGGAGTGCACAGTTCACTGAGTGGCCCTGTGCATCTCCAAACAGGCCGATTACAACTCTGACTACCAGAAGATTAGAAAACTCCTTTAATAAGTTAAACCTCTACTTGTTTCACTAGGTTTGGGTAATTGTCTTTTGCTTCTCTATTTTTAATATCTTATTTTTGCTTTATTTTTAATTTAACTGACATTTAATAATTATAAGCATTAGTATAGTGTGATAGTCCAATACATGTGCACTACGTGCATTGATCTCATCTTTTCTCTGGAGCCTTCCAGCTCCTCTCTGCCAGCATTTCATAAAGTACACAACAAGTTATTGTGAAATACAGTTGCCCACTGTGCTGCTCACACTAGAACTTATGTTGTGCTGCTGGTTGGACAATGTCCTGCCATCCTGTCTTTCCACCACTTTCCTCAGACTCTGGTAATCACTATCCACCCCTTTTCTACTTTGAGATCAGTTGTTTTGGTTCTATATGTGAGAGAGAACATGTGATATTTGTCCTGTGTCTGGATGACTTAATTTAACAGTACCCTCCAGTTCTATGCACTTTGCTGCAAATGACAATACCCCACTCTTTTTATGGCTAAGTAATATGACACTGTTGTATATAGGCCACATTTTCTTTATCCATTTATCCATTAATACCCATGTTGTGTCCATATCTTGGGTACTGTGAATGGTGCAGCAATAAACATTACTGTTTTTTAGATAAAGACATTAACAGTCCCATTCTTTGATGAATTTCTCCTCCTTTTCCTTCCTCTAATCTTCTGTTAGCCGTAACTATAATTTTGTATTACCAAGGTTGAAAATATCATACTCTGCGTGCAATCATGAATGTCAATGTTTAATACTATGCTTATAGACTTAGCCTGAAAATTGAAACCTAATGAATATCCACATTACTGAGCTGTACTTTGTAAGTGCAGTTCAATGGTTAGTGTTGTCATCTAAGATGTAAAAATAATTGGAAAAAGGAAAGGAAAACAAAACCCTTAAATATTGCAGACTTCTTCCTGGAAAGCAGGATCATTTGATGGCATATGAAGAGCTGAGGGCATCCACAGTCTGCACCCCACTATACGTGATTGAAAGATTGTACTTAGGAGTTTATTCGAACAGTTGAAAGCCAATTAACAATACAGAGGCATTAAAATTATAAAAGCATTATTCAAAGCAGTTGGGTTTCTTTACACGTTTGTAAGTCTAGTAGTATCTTAATCTCAAATAGAAGAAGGTTCTAAAACCCCAGTCAAATAAATTACATTTGGGGGGTAATTATTTTATTTTATTT